TAGCCTTGTGCTCAGATACCTGCAGATGTGTAGAGGGGTCCTACAAATACACAACAGTAATGAACTAAGTAGAAGATGTTACCAATATAAGTATTGATACCTGAAGGCATATTTATCTTTATTATGCATAACATCCGCACCATGCTCGTGTTAATTACTTAGAATCACAGAGAAGGCCCATAATAATAATAATAATAATAATAATAATAATAATAATAATAATAATAATAATAATAATAATAGTTGGAAGGGACCTTGGAGGTCATCTAGTCCAACCCCCTGCTCAGGCAGGAAACCCTATACCATTTTGGACAAATGGCTGTCCAGTTTCTTCTTAAAAACTTCCAGTGTTGGAGCATTCACCGCTTCTGGAGGCAGGTTGTTCCACTGGTTAATTGTTTTAACTGTCAGGAAGTTTCTCTTAGTTCTAGGTTGCTTCTCTCTTTGGTTAGTTTCCACCCGTTGCTTCTTGTCCTGCCTTCAGGCGCTTTGGAAAATAGCTTGACTCCCTCTTCTTTGTGGTAGCCCCTGAGATATTGGAACACTGCTATCATGTCCCTCCTCGTCCTTCTCTTCATTAAACTAGACATACCCAATTCCAGCAACCGTTCCTTATGTGTTTTAGCCTCCAATCCCCTAATCATCTTTGTTGCTCTTCTCTGTACTCTTTCTAGAGTCTCAACATCTTTTTTACATCATGGTGACCAAAACTGGATGTAGTATTCCAAGTGTGGCCTTACCAAGGCATTGTAAAGTGGTATTAATACTTCACGTGATCTTGATTCTATCCCCGTTAATGCAGCCTAGCACTGTGTTGGCTTTTTTGGCAGCTGCAGCACACTGCTGGCTCATATTTAAATGATTGTCCACTAGGACTCCGAGATCCCTCTCACAGTTACTACTATTGAGCAAGGTACCCCCTATAATATACCTGTACATTTGGTTTTTCTTGCCTAAATGTAGAACCTTATTTTTTTCACCATTGAATTTCATTTTGTTAGATAGCGCCCAGTGTTCAAGTCTGCCCAGATCCTCCTGTATCCTAAGCCTGTCTTCTGGAGTGTTGGCTATTCCTGCCAGCTTGGTGTCGTCTGAAAATTTGATGAGTTCCCCATCTATCCCCTTGTCCAGATCGTTGATGAAGATGTCGAAGAGCACTGGGCCCAGAAAAGAGCCCTGGAGCAACCCACTACACACTTCCCTCCATGTAGATGCGGTTCCATTGAGGACCATTTTTGAATCCAGATGAATGTTTAGCTTCTACTTGAAGAGAACTTCACAAAATCAATAGGGCATTGCTTTTACTGTTACAAATTTCTCCATCCTAATATTTAATTGTTGTCTTACATATCTGTAATTTACATCCATTCTATCAAGGTATTTTGGAAAGAGAATCGATTTTGATTTTCTGCTGTATGAAAAATAACTTTCAGATATTTAGAAAGTTTTATCATATTTCTGGACAGTCATCTTTTTATGTTCTCTTCATTAGACATAATTTTAGTCCACTAATCATCTTCATTACCCCTCAGCAAACCTGCTTCAATTTTTCCAATTCCAAAAGTGAGGTGTTCACAACTATACACGGACCTTTGATAAAGTCTGATCTAAAGCATGGAAAAAATATTTCCCATTATTTGAAAAGTATACTTTTCTCTGTCAAATTTCATTCTCTTCTTTCTGTTCCTTTTTCCTATCTATCAACATTATTTTAAATTTTAGTTGTGCTCTTTAGCATATTAAAATCAGAAATTTTATAATCTGGATATTACATAAACAATCTCTTTAATATTGTATCCACATAATAAATTAAAATATTGAATGAAGGACCCTGGACTGATCCTTTTGCACTTTTCATAATACCTCTTGCCTATCTGATGATGAAACATTAACATGTACTCTTTGAGCATGATTGGATCATCTATGTATCTACTTATTTGTTTTACATTCAACACAATTAAACACTGAAACAACTTGCTGGTTGTAGTATTTTTTCAAATGCTTCATAAACTTGAAACATAGCATTTCTTCAAAGAAATCACTGTAGTTGGTAGATTCAAATAAATCATTAGCAACATTAATTTTCATATCAAAGACAGTAGAGTTTTAAACAGTTGCATAAGCAAGTTGCCTATTATAATTTATTTTGTACACTCATTGAGAATTATTACTGTCTAATTTTTCAGCAGCAGGATAGTTTGCCTAGTTTGTAAAATGGGAAATCAGTAAAATGTCCTTCCTTATTAACTGTTAGTACAGTACTGTTTGAAAACAGTGAAAATGCCATTATTCACTAATTTAAAAACCAAGTAAAACTTTCCATTCATGTTATACATCTCTTTCATTGTGTAATTTTAATCAGTAGGGGGAATGTTTTTCTTAATTCTAACATTAGAATGGATTATTATTTTAATGTTTGTTAATAATTATAGTTATTATCTATCTAATAACCAAAATTATTAGTGTTACAGATTTGTTTAAGAGATTCAAAGGTTCTAAAAAGCAATAAAAAACAAAACATTGTGTTCGTGCATAGTGTGTGTGTGTGTGTGTGTGTGTATAATGTATATGTGTGTAGATAGTTACATATATATACATTCTCAAACATTTCCCCAGTCTAGTTCAGACTAGATACCAAGTTGAATACAAACTACAAAATACCTTGAAAGAGATCTATCCTTGCCTGGTACTAAAGTTATATTGGAAGCCTTGAATTCTTTTCCTCTTATAATGCTCCTCTACATTACATTACTTGGCAGGAATAACTCAAAATGTCCTCAGAGATGATCAAAGGCCCTGTACAGGTATGAGTTGAAAGCAAAATAAATGATAAGCAAGCCCTACTTCCCCCTTAAAAAATTAACACTATTCTGCAATTTCAAGAAGAAGAAAAAATCATCTCATATGAATTTGGTACATTAGAAAAAATTAAGAAAAAATATTTTCATATCTGGTAGAAAAATATTTGTTCATATATCTAATTTGCTTCTAAATTGCAGGTGGCAAAAGCAGACTAAATTTCAAAATTAAGGCTGAATGGTAATCTGGATATATTCCATACAAACTATACATATTTACTCAAATGTAATTAAATTACCTTGAATTATTTACAATGTTTAACATTTTAATTTCAGTTCTTCCTTTAAATCGCAGTATTATTAATCAATTAATTTATCAGATGAACCTTTCAGTTGTGTGAGACAAAATTAGCCATAAAGTTATTTTTTATTATAGAATGTATACAGAGATAGACAGACATGATATTTTCTTCTTTAACATTGTAAACTACATTGTTTAAACTACAAGCATTACAATGGATATTGTCATTTGCAATTTTTTTGGTAAATAAATAAATATTATTGAGGATATTAAAAAAAGGACTGGTTTTTGCAGTTGTAACATGATGGTGTAAAATAAGGTACAATGGAATGTTTATTTAATACTACATATGTGTAACAACTATTTGGGGACATTTGGGGACATTTTGCTATCTTAAACTAATACATTAATATTGGATTGAAGTAATGAAACATGTTACTTGCATTATTATGGTTTGTTGCACAATCATTTGGCATTTTTAAAATCTGCCTATCAAGTCCTCCCCAAGACGTTTTATGGTGTTAAAAGGTACTGTTGCAGGATGCAAGCTATTCCAAGTAAAACTACCTTATGCAATTGACTAGTAATTTTATCAGTGCTGTCAATGCTGTTGGTTCAAGTACTGTTCCTGTGGTTTTGGGATTGGACACAAGATGCCTATTACTATTGACACCATCTTTGCTGCCTTTTGCCACAGTTGTTCTATGTACATTGTACATCTTTGTATTTTGTAATTTTCTACAGTTCTTTCTCTTCTGTTATGCTGTCTACTGGTACTGCTATGTGTAGTGTTGTTGTTACCATTATTTAAATAATGTGTTACCCTTCCTTCCTCCCTCCCTCGCTCGCTCCCTCCCTCCCTCCCTTCTCTGAATATTTATATAAGTTGAATAAATCACAATCAATTTACAGTAAATATATTTTTATCAGTACAGCAATTACTTTTGTCTTTTATATCAAAACTAATAAAAATAAGGCAGAAGGTTTAGAAAGTTTGAATGACTATTAACTGAATTTCTGCACTCTTGACAACATTTTAAATGTATGACTTTAATTGTTGCACAATTCTCAAGGTATTGTAAGCCCTATGTAAACCCTGGTGGAACTAAATGGGATTTTCCAATCAATAGAGTTCCAGGACATAATCAAGCTCTCACCTTCAGGGACACTTTTGGCTTGTTAAGCTCTTTAGAAGACCACAATTAGATCTGTACTTAATTCTTTCTTGGATAATACAACCGGTTTTTAATAAATCCTCTGTCCTGACTCTATATCATTCCGAGCCAACCACAGTTTCTTATATTCAGATAGTCCTCCCATCTTCCCAATAGCATCTTGGATTTCTATTATGGATGCATACCTCTACTCATTCTTGACTTCTTCTAAACCATATGGCCTCCACAGATTCAGTTCCCAGAGGCATGTTCATTGAATACATCATTTTCACAGCATGGGGAGACAACTTGCAGCTGTGGAATGCATCAAGCTAAGTTAACACAGTCCTCTATTTACTTTCCAGAGCAGTTCATTGCAAAGAAAGAAAAGGAAAAAAACAGAGCAAAGACATAAAAAATGCTCTGTCCAATTTTAGCTGTGGTACCACTGGTTTCTGCTCTATCCACCAACAATATGCATCGCTCAACAAATTAGCATATCAATATAAAAACTGACTGGAATATTGGAATATTTGTTAATGATCTTTTTATAAACTTCAGTTAGAGGGAATTGTATTCTTATTTAATACATCACGTCTCTCTCTTTATTATATTATAAATTATTTTGAAATGATTAGCAGATTATTACAAGTAATTTTGTAATTTGACAACATATGTGTCTTCATAATATTGCATAAATCTTTAGTAGATAAAATGTTTTTTTTGTGTTTATATTTCTTACAACAGGTACTATTTTCCCTCTGCATTGCCTTTTGGGGAATACAGATCATAAAGCAACTCACTTCAAGTTCAGAGAAGCAACACTAAGAAGGAGTCTATCAAAATTTTATTTTTTGTGATGGATTAGTTTAATCTTTTGTGCAGAATTGCAGTAGAGATTTCTTTAGTATATTTATCAATATAAACAACAACATATAACCAAATCTAAGATCGACATGTCTCAATTTCTTTATTTTTGTTTATTTGGGAACTTCTGAATTGCCTTCTATAAAACATGTAAAATGTTTTGCATCAATTTCATTTTTATGCAAATATATATGTAATTTTAACAATTATGTTAATAAATACTAATTATGTATATAATGGCAATAAATTCATTTATTTTCTTTACATGTTGATAAAATTAAAGGACTCTTGTCATATGGGTGATGAAGTTTCACTGATTTAAGACGCCTTGCACATGAATATTGAAGAGCAGAATTTGCAGTTAATCATGAATACACTTCATATTTGCAAATGTAAGCTTTGTTCAACCTGGGCACGTTTATTTTTTAACTTGACTGTAATTCAGTCAAGTTGACTTTACTATAATTCAGTCAAGTGAATTGTACTCTGCCTTTAACCGTTAACCATTAAAATGTTAATTAAAAAAATAACAAATACTGATGAAATCAAACTGAAAAGACCTGGGTAAAAATAGAAGTCTTAACATTTTTCCTAAAGGTAGAAAGAGGGGGGCTGAACACAAACCAAGAGATTCTATTTTATAATTTGGGAACTGCATCAAAGGCTATACAATGTGTCTCAAAACACACCCACAAGGAGTTCTTGTAGAATAATGCTACACATTGTATTGTGATAAATACAAGTAATCCTTGACTTATAACAGTTTATTAGTTGACCATTCAAAATTACAATGATGCTGAAAAAAAGACTTATGACCATTTTTTTGCACTTACAAATTGCTGCATTCCTGTAGTCATGTGATCAAAATTCAGATACTTGGCAACCTAGTTCATATTTATGATAGTTGCAGCATCTCAGAATCATATGATTCCCTTTTGCGACCTTCTGATAAGTAATATCAATGGGGAGATCAAATTCATTTAACAACCATGTTAGTAAATTAACAACTGCAATGATTTACTTAACAGTTGTGGCAAGAAAGGTCGTAAAATGGGGCAAAACTCAGTTAACAAATGTTTCACTTAGCAACATATTTTTTTGGCTCAATAGTGGTTGTAAATCGGGGACTATCTATTCCCTCTCCTGTATCAAACCCCAAATTGTTCCATATTTCAAAGACAAAAGCAAAAATCTGTAAGTTGTGACTAATAAACAATTGGCAGTGCTTCTAATATCATGATCACTCTGAATTTTGTACATCTAGAATCTCCAGGGCATAAATAATCTTTCAGTCATCTGCTTTGGCAGGGTTTTTGTTGTTTGTTTGTTTGTTTTGCACCAGATGAAGCTTTTAGATACATAGCTTCACAGACAGAGCCTCCGGTATCTGAAGAAGTGTCAGATAAAGGGCTTAGAGGCATTTTTGTAAATTGAGATGATACTGGAGGTAGGCACTTTGCTTTGCAACATGTTACTTTTGTGGTTCTTCTTTTAAGTATCTTTTGAAAATATATAAATATAAAATATATAAATAGGTAGTTAACATATTTTGTGCCAAAGGAGATGTTGGATGGCTCATTTATGCCCAGGCCCTGCCATGGAGATTCTAGTTGTATAAACTATTATATTTCTTCTCCTGCTTCCTGCTGTTCAAGCTTTTGATCCTCAGTTTCACATACTGCTATCCTGGACTCTGAACTTCTGCTGTCACCTTGAGTTATTAGCTGTGTCTGATTTTTTCCTTGAAACTCTGTTGTTGCTTTTGGTGTATCCAATCTCTGATCTTCAGATTGTCTTCTTTCTCAGCTGTGTTTCCCCTCTCCAATTTTGATGGATTTTTGGTTATCGGTTATAAACTGCCGGTTAAATCTTCACCCTACTATAAATCTGCATTCTAGTATAACAGTGAAAATTTTAGCCCATCCAGAAGCATGTTGCTATCTAAAAGTGAACCTAAATGATGTTCGTTCTATCTATCTATCTATCTATCTATCTATCTATCTATCTATCTATCTATCTATCTATCTATCTATCTATCTATCTATCTATCTATCTATCTATCTATTGAACTATCGATCTACCTAACGAACTATTGATCTATCTATCTACTGTATATCTTGCCTTTATTATTTTTACAAATAACTCAAGAGGGTGAATATTTAGCATGAACACTTTAAAAGAATCTCATTCTTGATGAGATTGAGAATGAGAATGATCACTAGAACTGATCAGGGTGACCTTCTGTAGGAGCTATGACTGAAGAGATGAAGCTTGTATCTGATAGATGGCCCTTTGGATAATGGCTTGTACAACACTATGTCTTAGAAGATATGACTAAGCCTGTACGTGCATCTTTTTTGCTATTATACCCACCTATTATTTATTCAGACCCTTGAAATCTGTTGACAATTTAATTTTTTTCCTAGTGTTTTGTCACATTATCTGTTTATGTTTTTATTTGTTTTACTGATATATATTTGAACGTTACATAAATTCCTAATTCAGTTGCACTGTAATGACTGTAGAATATTGTAGCAGTAATTGAAAAGTATAAATAGCAGTATAATAAATAACAGGAAGTAACTTTGCACACACATACCTGATCTATTTATTTCAAATGGGCTTGATAATACTCACTGATTTTGTCATTGATATTAATGTGTTTTTGCTGTTCCTATTCAGCATATGTTAGAAATGTGAAATCGTTTTTCTGTAGCAAATCTGATAGAAATAGTTAACATTTGTCATTATTAGGAACACCAGGGTTTACTGATCTAATCAGTTGTATTCCATCATACCTTCTCTGCATTCCATCTAGGTTTATCCAAAACCAGATAGTGAATTAATTTATCTAGAATTCATCCTACATATCGGCATTGGAGGCCAAGAAGCTAAACAAAGCGTTAGTCTGAAAGGTATAATAAAGATAAGTGATTCCCCTATCCAGTCGTGTCCAACTCTAGGGGATGCTGCTTATCTCCAAAGACATTCCATGGTCCTTTGGCTGGCATGATTATACACCAGATAAAAACAATAAAACAATGTATCCAAACAAAAGAATAAAAATAATAAGAGAACACTTAAAAATATTTTAATAAGGTAATTTTAAAAGCATCCAGTTTTGGAGTAGTTGTTATTCTGAAAATATGTGGAAAACAAGCATTTCTTAGATGTTAATTAAAATAAAGCAAGGTGAGAATGATAATAACTTTCTAGAACCAACATTGCTGATGCATCTCAAAAAATCCTGCTGTTATGTGACTGGATGCTCAAACAGATAACTATCAGCTTGTTGCAGAAGTGTGTGATTTAGTGCTACTCCTGTGTATTTGTAATATTTAGATCTTTAATTTTTAAACCCCACCAAAGAAAATCTCCCTGCATTTCTTATATATTCTAAGACATTCTTATTACTGGAAATGTTACACCTTTTCATTAATTAAATATCTTGAATTCCCCCACAGATAGATGCTCTTTTTCCCGCCAGTTATTTTGTCTGTAATTTCTGAAATGAGTCTGTTGGCAATTGTGAATTATAACACTTCAGACAGAAAATGGAAGAGAGTCTTTGGGAAAACAGTATGTTATTTCTTGCTTTACCTTTATTTTTTCTATTTTATATTGTCAGTCACTTTTACTTTGTTTACCTCTGGATATCCCTTGCTTCTTTCACAAAGAACAGTGTTTTGACATATCACTGAGTATACAGGTGACAGCCTGCAGTAGCATCAAATTAATTGAAATTAACAAGAGGGGTAGAATTTTAAAGGAATTCAAAATTGAACTACTGAGGATATGATTATATCAACAATAGAATCTCTGAAAGAGTCATACTCTTTCTTTCAATACAAGCTTTATGCTCCCCCCTGAATAAAATACCATGTTGTGATGAAGTGAACTTCATTGAAACATAAACATTTATGCTTTTCAGTAAATGATGTTTCCAGTTTCTTCCTGATATTTTGCTTGTTCAGAAAAGGGACAACAATGCAGGAAACATACAGTATCATGCAAGTGTTTTATTCAAATTCTTTCCCATTGTCTGTTCTCATTTTTCTCTCTCCCTGGCTTCATTTTCTGTTACATAGACACAAAAATGGTGGTTCAGATTCTATTAGAGTTTTACTAAGTTAGGTCTCATTGTAAATCTTACCTCAAGACATTATTTTGAATTAACTAAACTAGTTCGCAGTGGGGTTGTGTGTGGCTTTTTTGGGGGGGATGAATTTATCCTTTTGGCATCTCTCAGTTAATTAATCTTAGTTCTTGACTTAAGGACAAGTCCCTGGAAATATAACTTGTGCAGCACTAGTATATGAAATATGTATGGATCATTAATTTACATCTTTTTTAAGAAAGGTGTCATATAGTTCATTGTTTTAAACAAAAATTATAAACATAGAAGAGCATTAATTAAAAGGTTTAAATTAAGTAAAACAAATAGTAAGTAAGTAAGCAAGCAAGCAAGTAAAAGCCAATACATATATTATATTAATAAAGAGGTAAAATCAAGATCATGTGAAGTGTCAGTACCACTTTATATTGCCTTGGTAAGACCACACTTAGAATATTGCATCCACTTTTGGTCACCACAATATAAAAAAGATATAAAGATTCTAGAAACAGTGCAGAGAAAAACAACAAAAGTGATTAGGGGATTGGAGGCTAAAACATATGAAGAACAGTTGTAGGAATTGGGTATATCTAGATTAATGAAAAGAAGCAATAGGAGTGAGATGATAGCAGTGTTCCAATATCTAAGTGGCTTCAACAAAGAAGAGGGGCTCAAACTATTTTCCAAAGCACCTAAAGGCAACAATGAATGGAAACTAACGAAGTGAGAAGCAACAAAGAACTAAGGAGAAATTTCTTGACAGAACAAGTGAAACAACTTGCCTCCAGAAGTTGTGGCTGCTTCAACACTGGAGGGTTTTTAGAGATTGGACAACCATTTGTCTGAAATGTTTCTTCAATATATGATTTCCTATATAGGTCAAGGTTGTCCAATACAGGTATAGGATTTCCTGCCTGAGCACAAGATTGGTCCAAAGACTTCCAAGATTCCTTCCAACTCTGTTACTTTGTTAAATGCTGTTAAACACACAATAATAGCAATAGCATTTAGACTTATAGACCACTTCACAGTGCTTTACAGCTCTCTCTAAGCAGTTCACAAAGTCAGCATACTGCCCCCAATAATCTGGGTCCTCATTTTAACAACCTTAGAAAGATGGAAGGCTGAGTCAACCTTGAGT